GGTAGCAGGAGGAGTAGACTCAGAGGTCGTGTCGGTGGCTGCCGGTGGGCTTCTGTCTGACCCATCCTCAGTCGAGTCGCGCGGCAGCAGCTCGAGGTCTTCCAACATCCTCAGGTCATCGCTGAAGAGACTGCCCAGCGTCACCGACATGTAGTCTGCTTCTTCCGGGGGAGATTCGGTCCAGTAAGTCAGAGGGGTGCCACAGAACCCGCAGAAATTGCGCTGGGAGTGAGGCGCATGGACAGGCGTGAAAGTTCGGCGAATCGCGGCATGGGTCTCATCCGGATAGTAGGAATACGTTTGAGAGCGGTACCAGGTCAAGGGCACTCGCAGCCATGCCGTCAATGGAGCTCCTTGGAAGCGACCTGGACAGATCCTCCATCAGCCAGCTGGAATTGCCGGGACAGGGGGACGGGAACATACGGTGATCTCTGCTGCTGTCAAAGATTACCTCGGCCCTGCCTACGGAATCGTCGTCAGGAATGACTATCATATATTGGTTACGGCCGCAAGAGCAGCCTCCCCGCAGTGGCTCGCGGCTGGTCATAGTTGTAACCGTACGTAGATGATAACTATAGCAATAGTCACAATTGGGATAGCTTTCTATGTTTTCCTCGGAATGAGAATGTCACGACAAATTCAGCGGGAACAATGCCTGTAGATTAAAATTGCGTCCTGGTAAATCCAGAGCCTGGTGGGAATTTCTAGAGGGCACGAGAACATGGAGTCGATGGAATGGGCATGCGCCCCGATGACGTGAATACAATCCGATGCCAAGACCCAGGGCTGACATCTTGCAATCATAACTCAAAACTTAGTTTGGACCCTCCGCATCCGTTTCCAAGATCGTTTCCTCTTCCCAAATCGTCAACCGTGGCTTTTCCCTTCACCCCTGAATCGGTCACTGCTTGAAGGCTGGAACCAGTCCGTCTATTCCCTTGTTGCACGCAGTGAAGAGCCTTTCTCTAGCTTAGATACACGATCTACGCAAGGCGCCTTTATTCTTTCTCTGAGGCATATCCGAACCCCGCGTTTTCCCGACCCGGAGATCCCCTTATCCAGACCAACAGTCCACCTACATCATGTCGTCTGTGAAATCGAATTCAATGTCCCCTGATCTTCGATCGTCTCCAATGACATCCAACGTGGCCAACAACGCAGAAGAAGGTAGCGGGAACCGTCGCTCCCGAACGTCAGTCGCATCGACGGCTTCCAATGCCACACCGGGCCCGTCATCAGCGCGCGCATCGTCGACATCCGGTGGGGATAAGGAGAAGCCCCGTCTGACAGAGCAGGAAAAGAAGAACAATCACATCGCGTCGGAGCAGAAACGGCGCGCGGCAATCCGCGAGGGCTTCGACCGCCTCACCGAGCTGGTTCCCGGTCTGGAGGGCCAGGGCCGCAGCGAGAGCGTCGTCCTGAGGAAGACAGTGGAATTTATACGCATGAAACTGCAGGAGAGACGGGAACTCATTGCGGAAATCGAGAGAATCGGTGGGCGTGTGGACGACTCCTTGCGCACGTGATTATCTGAGATTTTCACGTGAAGGCTTTCAAGCCGACTTCCCTATTAGGGGGTCGGATAGGCGTGACCTCAGACGGGCAAGATCTCGGGCCCTCAGCACCACGCACGCAACCAGTCTGTGAGCAATACGAGTCAACGGGCTGGTGCTGCAGCTTCGACAAGGATGATTCCTCGACTTACGGATAACAAACAAAACTCGTGCCCTTCGCTGGTGATCTCAGGTCGCGAGACATCTAATGAATGGTCAGCGGCCCGAACACCATCCGCGAGATGGTGATGGTGCATCAGCAACCTGGCCGCAGTTATGTGGGATACGTTACAGCCAGGATGCTTTCCTCGCGTCCTGGACTGCTGTGTTGTCTTTGACTGGCAAGCTAAAGAGAAAGAGCACAGTTGGCCATTGATCTACAACGGGGTTGATCCTGCGTATACGCGCGGCAACATCGATTCTTCAATTGTCCTTCGAGATGGATGGGGCATTCTGTGAATAAAGCGATGCTCGATACTAACACTCAAGTCCGACGATACGGTAGAGTACGGAGTATGTAGGTTTTGAATCTGCATGAATAGCTTGAAGAAATGGATGCAATGTCATGAACAGCAGATGTTTTACTTTTTTTTCTCTCTTTTCTGGACTGCTATCCCTGTAAACTAGCTCATTACCCCGCATTATTAATTTAATTGAGGAAAAATAAAAGAGAGGGATGTTTGTCCCTGCAAAGTTTCCATTGGCATTATTTGGGCTAGACTTGAAACTCTCGTCCGCGACTCCGCGACTCCCCGGGGCTCTACACAGCTAGGCGCTATATTACTCCATACAATTCAACGAATACCCACTGCCCAGGCTATTCTAGTCTGTTCTTTACTCTACTCCGTACTAAGTCAGTCAGGACTCTCAGCCAACGTCACAAAATACAATTCAACTTTAATTAAGGATCTATGGGAACTTGACATGTGGACCCGCCAACTACGCGTCTTGTTTTACTCTGCGTACACTGGCTTTCTTTCGTATCTGCAGTGGGCATTATTTAGGCAATATTGATAAATCCTATTTTTCCCCCAATGGCATACATCCATGTATGTACTCCGTATTACATATTAGTGGAGTTGAGGAGTGACTTTAGTTTTAGTGCGGAGCTATTTCTGTTTCATCAGATATCTATCTATATTTCCGTCTTAGCCGGTGTTGAAGCTGTATGGGAGTCCGTACATATTTAATCAGGGCTGTACTCCGTAGTTTCTGGTCGTCCTATTATTTAAACGTTTCAATTCTTCCCCAAGTTGCTGCTGTATACATATACATATATCAAGTTCAACTCCATTCATAATTGATTATTCACTCCTACAAGCCTTAATCTCTCCTAAATCATCCTTCTTGAAGAGGGCAATATCTGATCTGGTCTGATCTTCTCATCATGAAACCACTCCAAGCCCTAATCGCCGTCGTATCGCTCACCAGCGGTGCGCTGGCCCAATCAGGCCCCTTCAAAGCCACCTTCACGCAGTACGGCTCTGGCGACCAGAACGGCTCGCCCAACTGCGCCACGACCGTCAACGCCTGCGGCAACCCGGAGGTCTACGCCGGCAAGTACACGGCGGCCATCAGCCAGAAGCAGTTCGGCGTCGGACCCGGCCAGGGCGCCGGACCGGCCTGCGGCACCTGCTACGAGCTGACCATCGAGACGGATCTGAACGGCAACCCGGTCCCGCAGAGGACTATCAACGTCACGATCAACAACCTCTGCCCCATCGATGGGAACCCGATCTGTAATGTCCCGAACCAGTACGGTGGACAGGCGAACTTTGATCTCTGTATCGACTCTGGTGCCGCGGCGGCGTTCTTTACCACCTCTGGAGCGGGTATTGGTACGGCACAGCAGATTTCGTGCTAGAGAGAAGACAAAAAAAGAAGGAAGGATTGTTTTGAGAGGGGATCAAAATGGTGTTGGTGACGAGAGGGTGTATATAATAATTTGAGCGAGGGTTTTGATAGGGTACATAATTTGTCCTGGAGTAGGATATGTGGAAAACTTGCGTGTACATAGTCGATGACTTGGAAAAAAATTGCACAAAGGCCCGAGAAGGATCGATGCTGCAAACAATCTTCTCTTTGGTCTCTTTTCACTGCTGTCCATTACCTGCGGGGAGTCAGTAATATTTAGTTCTTCACTTGACGGAATCATTCAACAATTCATCAACATGTCATGCAAAAGCTGATTGTGACTGGAACGAAAACCGGGAGCAGATGTAGCTAGCATCTTATTATGGTTGTCGAATAATTGATGCACGGCATACTCCCTGTATACTCGTTGACTCGTTATAGTACTCGTATTCACTTGTTCAGAGAGCCGTCTATCAAGTTCAAATTTTGCTGTCGATCTCTGGACGCTCCTAGGCTAGGAAGCTATGGAAGGATTGGAAGAACCCTGCTCGATTACTCCAGGTGTTTCCTGAAGTAAACGGACAGAACGTGTGTTTTGGCTAATGGTTAACATATCTGTTCAAGATGGGCAGATGCTGCCCCTGTTGACAACTTGTGTTCCAGTGAACACACTGTTTATATCTGTACTGAAACAAAGAACTTGCCAGTATCAAAATGTCAGTGAGATAAAACAATTTCATTGTAATCATCTAGGACTAACCTATATTACCCAGACAAGCATGACTGCCGCTGTCTTCAGAATGATACTGCCAGACTACATAACAGCATATGTTAGATATCTCCATGACATCTCAAGGTAACATACCTAGACTCCCTGTTCTTGTAACCCTTTATACAGCATGCGGTCCAACATTCCTGTCGTGAACACCCTTTAACTATACTGTGTAGTCAGATTCACAACATTTAACAGATATCCACAACATAATCACTGTTTGTAATTGCCGAGACCCTCAGGGAATGCCAGCGCCGAGATGGTAGCCTCTTTGAAGCCCTACTTCCCACGATGAGCACGCTCAAACTCTCAAAATCTTCAAATCTCTAAGCCTCACTCACCCTTCTGCCTGTCCCTCTGTTGACATTCATCATAACCATATCCTTGTTGATATGAACTCTTTCCGCTGAATCAGCCTGAATGAAATCTTTGTCAGAACCTTCCTGGGCTTGTGAACACTCCTGCAGGCACCCAAAGAGCAGATCCTGCATAGGGTTGTGAGCTCTGAGCACTCACAGACACGTACACGTCCTCTCCACACAATCAGCAGACTCATAACGACAGAAGACGTGTCTGAATCAGTCAAGAAACCAGAAACCGTCATCTGCAAACTTCCCACGTTTAAAACCATACACGGGTAAGAGAAGCATCAAATAGACTGTCAGATAAGATGGCATCACCCGAGGATTCGTCCAAAGGTCCGTAAGCCCTCTCTTATTTGCTGTCCACGAATTGTCTCTGACAGATTGCAGTCAATTCCCCCACAAAGAGGGAGCAGGATGCCTTGGTCAAGCCTCGTAAAGATGACAAAATGTCCAGGATTCCGCGAGCGTCGGGTCACAAGGAGTCTTCTACCGGGAGCATTAAGAGCCCTAGAAAGCCCACCACCCCTCAAACTCCTCGAAGTAGCTTGCTACCACTTCCCGTTCGTGCTAATCACGGTCTGACTCCCAAGAAACCGACCTCAGCGTCTCATACGCTTTCGTCAAATGCGCTAAAGGATCCTGTTCCGGAAGATGAGACAGTGTCGACTTCCATTGAGCCTGACAATGCTAAGGATGCGAATGAGAAAGACGAGAACAAGAAAGATGACGACAATATCAAGGATGAGACTGAGGAGGATTCCTGGCCTGAAGATACGGACCCGAAATTCCTTGCGGAAGCAGCAGAGTATCGCCGCCGAGGACCGGTTTTCACCGGAGAATACCGCGTGAAACGGCTCACGAGATCTCGACTGGAGATGGGCCCTACCCTTTTCATTGCCCCGTCAGCAGAGAGACTAATCATGGGGACAGACGACGAGAAGGACGTGTCTTCGTCTATCTCTGTTGACCAAAAGCTAGAGGAGAAAACTGTTAGCCATCCATTTGCAGAGGGATCTCGCGTATTTGACCAACAGACTGCCACGAGAGATAATAGATGGTCTCCTCAAGAAGAGCAATTGCCCTCTCATGTAACAAGTGATACTGCCGTGGGCGGAAATAACGAACAAACGATGGAAACTGGGTCATCCCTTGAGCAATTATACGAACACAGTGTGCCCTATGTCAGAGAATCTCGTGAGGGTGAAGATAAAGGCAAAGGTCGTGAGAAGGGAGTTTCAACCGATATCAAATCACAGTATCGGGGTCCTGCTGCTAGAGACGATGAATGGCCAGCCCGGATACATTCATCGTCCACTCTCCAAGACTTTAGTGAAGGGCAGGGCCCTGCTGACCAGGTGATGGCCGATATCAAATCACAGTTTCAGGGTGTGGCCACCAGACACGATGGCTGGCCAGTCCGCATAGACTCCTTGCCCAGTTTTCAAAAGTTGAGTGAAGGACACAGCGACGAGGGTCTTAGTGAGCAGGTTAAGACCGATATCAAGTCACAGTTGCAGGGTCCTGCCTTCAAAGGCTGGCCACTCCGGAAAGATTCCTTGCCCGATTTTCGAAGATCGAGTGAAGCACACAAAGACGAGGGTGCTGGTGAGCGGAGTTCGTCCGGTATTCTCCCTCACTCTCGGAATTTGGACGACACAGGCCGGCCAGAGTCAAAGCAGTTGACGCGCACGTCCAGAATCGGACCTGGCAACTTGCCCAAACAGACTCCTTCTCACGCGCCTCGTTCGCCTAGTCGACTCCCACCCCACACACCACCCAGGTTTTTATGCCAATCTCCATCCCAGCCCGTCTGTCGCGTCGAGAAGCAGCAAGAATCCTATCTCCTCTGCTTCACGCATAGGCCGGTTGACTCGTGTCTTCTCTCAATCTCCGTCTTCGAACCTTCCCCCAACAGCCAAATTTCGTTCGAGGAACAATCCTTTACTTCCAAAATCGTTCACTGAAACAAACGTGAAGAGACGATCCATTTCCTCAGTCCTCGTCCCCGAAACTCCTAAGAAAGTCAAGGCTTCTCCGAAGAAACGCGCTGTCGAAGAGATCAAAAGTCCTACAACGAGCTCTACAATGAAGTTTCCCTCCTCAAAGCTTCCACGCGCCTTGGACGGTGTTCGTGGCTTTCTCAGCCAATCTAAGACTGCCAAAAAAGACGAGGCTCAGCCTGCGGACAAGAAAAAGCCCACCACTTCCAAAAAGATGTCAATTTCTTCTCCGCAGACTCCAACAATGGAGTCCAAAATGTCTCAAGAAAAACAGCGTGGACTCTCATCTGCTCATGCCTCCGTTTCGACTCCTCAATCGGTCTCTTCTGGTTCTCGTTCTCGCACGAAGGGCTGGTCCTTCGCCAGGCCCACGTTTTCCACACGCCAGAGAGCTGCAGCCAACACGGCAGCAAAGGAGGCGCCTTCGCCAAGCAGTCTTGGGTCTCCCTCCGTGGCGAGCCCTCCCCAGAATCCCACAGGCCCGATCACCAAGCCAACTGGGGACCTGTGGGATACCCTGGTGGAGCGTTCGCCGCGGAGGGAGATCCCAGTCTACGAGTCGATGCCTTTGGACTGGGATCCAAAGGAGGATCCCTCCCTCCCGCCTGTCCCTGAGCCCGTTGCTGACCGCCACGTCGAGGCAGTCAGAAAGTACATCAAGCGGCTCAGGGACATGGCGCCGGAGGGAGTGGATCCTGAGGTGATGGCCGATCGGATCACGGTAAGCAGTCTATCCAATACATCATCTACCATATACTCCGTATAATATAACGCTAACACTCATATCAAACAGGCATCGAACTTCCTGGAGCGCGGGGTGGAGGCCCTGCTGGAACTGCAGAGGGGGGTAGCCGAGGCTCAGCGTCTTGCTGCCACCCTCCAGTTCCAGCAGGTGGTGGCGAGGAGGGCGCTGTTCCGGCGCTTCAGAGAAGTGCGGGCAGAGTTGGATATTGATGAAGATTAATGGCTTCATCAATATCCAACTCTGCTCCCTTCTCTGGGGCTGGTTGTTCGTTTGTTCTTGTCTGTGTATTCTTTTTCTTTTTGTTTTTGTCTTTTTTTTTCCCTTTTTTCTTTTCTTGTTCTAATTTCTTTCTTCTTCCTGTATTCTTTTCTCTTTTCTTTTCTTTTCTTTTTTGTTAAAAAAAATAAAAAAACTGTATGTGTAATACGCGTTTATGAATTCCTGTACATAGTGACGAGAGACGACACCGCAGGAAAAAAAAGCAGAAAAAAGTGACAAAAAAAGGGAAAATCTTGTTCGAGTAAATTGATCTTTCTATACGATTACCCAAAATTAATCAATAAGTTATGTAAGACAGGATATAATCGTCCACTCTTCCTGTATCAGTCAAGGCACCTTGCGATGAAACTGGTCACCTCTCTCCATTCATCCGTCCAATGTTCCAAATATAAATAATATCAAGTAGTCGATTCATGCTGAACAGGTAGTGATGTAGATATGTAGTAGGCATTTCTCTTACCTCCTTTGGCGTGTATTGTTATCCAAACCTGTTCTGGCTACTTATGAGCTGAACATGATATCTGCTTTAGAAGCAATGGCATGGTAGCCGTCTCAAAGGATAAGGATAAAGACGAAGATCAAGGCCTCCGGTGTATCATTTTTGTCTTGTCTGTAAAAGAATCACCGGGTATTTTGTTCTTTATGTTTCACCCAGCCAGGCATCTTCCCGTTTGTACTGTACGTTCACATTCTATGTGTGCCTTTTGAGCAGTTTGTTAAGTGTCAGAAAGTGCAGAAACATATAGGATGTTTGCCTTGTCTTGCCGCTGTCTGCTCTAGTTAGGCTTTCTCCTCGTGTTATATGATTGCATACCGATTTAGGGTATTCGTCCGGAATCACCCGTCTGGAGAGGAGTATCTGATGTTCCTTTCCCGGTAATAGGGAGGTAGGGCATCACGCAAGCAGCATAACAACAACAAAAAACAACACCACCTCCTCCTCAACCATAAACAAAACGCGGTTCATGAACCATCCAAAACAAACAAAACTTTCTCTTCTCTTTCCCCTTGACTGTCCATCTCTTTCTTTCTTGTATACAAGCAACCCATCCATCCGTCAAGAGATCATGGAGGGAATGCATGTCTGCAGTTAAAATTCCTACTCAATCCTGTTGAGACTCCTTGTGACATAAACAGTTGATATTATTATCATCCTGTTTATCCTCTCAGTTCCCCTTCCAATTGCATCTACCGCGGTCATATCACATTATTGACAACCAATCTTGCGATACACAAAAGAGCATCATTTTCCACCCACATAGAAAGCATGGCGAAAAGTCGTAAGAATCAGAAAACCAAGGTATGGTTTCTTTGTCTCCATCTTTTCACAGTCCATCTCTGAATTTCCTCGCTGATATCATTTGGCATATACCAGCGTGACGCTGCGACCGCTTCTGCCAAAGCAGCCGGCGTACCGCGAAGCAAAAAGCCTCCCCGTCTGCCTGACATCAACGTTGAGGCGGCGAATCGTCTGCAACATCCACCGCCACTGCACCAGCGACAGCAACAAATTCCTCTTCATGCTCCTGGCTTCTGGCCTCAACATGGTTGGTCTGGGGACCCCAATCTCACAGTCCGCGATAGCAGTCGCGATGTCAGTCGCCCTGTTGGCCCTGATGCATTCCAGTTCCATCCTAGCCCTTACGGCCGGCAGGAGCAGCAGAGCAGCTACCCGGGCGCCCCTGTCTATGCAGGTTGGTACCTCAAACATCCATATTCAATGCCTTCTCCGTCCTATGTCTCTTCGTACATGCAGCCAAGGGTAGACCCAGCGTTTCTGGAAGGTCTTCGCTACCCAGGACACCAGCAGGTGAGTATTTCCACTTTTTTTCTCAGAATACTTGACTTCGACCCTAACAATCGCTCTTCAAGTCTTACCTGCCTCCACAATATGACCCCAGCAAGGATGAATATGTCAAAGAGGCGGCAGCCGCGAAAGACTATGGGAGCAAAGACAAAGGGAAGGATCGAGCAGCGGTGCCGCATAATCCCCTTTTCCAGCTTCGTCCTGAGGCTCCCGAATTCGTCCCAAATGACAGTTTCACATCGTTCGAAGAAGAGGAAACCGATACGAATACTGACACTGATACCGCTTCGGCTTCGGATTCTTCTTCTGAACCTCAAACTCAGCTTGGTCATCGGAGACAGAGATCAGCTACTTTCTGAGTGAGAACCGCTGAAAACGATGGAGCGAAGCTGCTTGACAAATATCTCATCGTCGGGTACAACGCCACTGCAGAGTCGACATCTTCGTCCAGGGGAAAGAGCCTGAGGGAAATCAGAGATCAAAGGAACAGGAAATTTACATGAGTTTCGAGACCATTAATTGTATGAGTAGATATTACATGGAGGAATAGGAAACGAAATGTCTATCTTGTCAAAACGTAGACCTGGGTATACTCATAGCGAACTGCTTAATATGAAATGCATGGCGAATCACAGGCAGAATTTGAGTCGATCTCAGGTCGTTGGTCATCAAGGTGCTCCTAGTCAAAGAGTTACTGACGTCTGGCATTGATCTCGTCAATCACCAGCCCAACGAGCTGAGTGATAGGACCGCCTCGTCGCCTCTGTCTTTGTCTTCTCTCAGAGTTGGGAATATTCTGATCATTTTGGCTCAGATACTTCCCCGACTCATCCCGGGGATACAGACCGTTATGCTCGGTTGACTGAATTGATGTCTGGACTTCGATGTATGCGGCGCTTTGTCGTACTGACAGGGTCAAGCCGATGCCAAGACAGATGAGGACGATGATAATTTCTTCCAAGACATCCATGACAAGCATGATGGTGACATTCCCAGTGATCATGTTAAACGACGGGTTCTGAGTGAAAGCCACCAGAAGAGAGTAGATGAGACGCACGAGAAGCAGAGGAATCGAGAGTCCTACAGCCAGAAGCAAGCGGTGCTCTCCGTCTTCGATGCCACGATAGCGAGATCCGACCAGAAGCAGCAAGATGCACAATCCCACCCATGCAATGAGAAACATGATCAGGCCAATCTTCGTCTTGGCGTTGACCAGGCCATTCGTGGGATCCGAACTCGCCGTCTGGCCTACGATACTCAGAATCAAGCCAACCAAAGTGATCACGCCGGTGAATCTGAAGAGAATAGAGGGCAACGGGTTCCCAGTCTTTCGTTTAATAGAGTCATTCCTATTTTGAGGTTCTGTGGTCAGATATTTTTCTCGTTGTCACAATTGCGGCACCCTCCAGGCACTCACACTCGCGACAAGAGGCCTATACAGGCCAAAGTCAAGGGCGATAACCCGATCGAATTGCAGACGGCCCACGTAATGTACAGATTGGTTGAAGTCGGGTTGCTGATGGTGGCCAGATAACAGCATGAACCGATCACGCGGAGCAGTGAGAATATGACGAAGAAAATCCACCCCGAACTTCTCCCAAATCCATGGCGGTAGGCCATCCACAGAGCCATGAAAAGGGCAGGAATGTACACGACAACCTCCAAGATGGAGAGGCCATGTCGATAACTGACAGCCATGATTGCGACTGGAAAACCGTGGACAATCCTTCGAACAGAACAAAATAAGGATTCGAGCCGGTATTCCAAACTTTCCGCTTCACGGATATTACGGATATTGAAGGGAGCGATGTCCATTATTTATCCTTTTGTTGACGATCATCACGACGGGTGAAGGAGGGGACGTCAATCTCATTTTGGGGAACGTTACGAATGACAAGGCTGTGCACCACCAGATAAAGCTAAAGCCTAGTGATCTGAGGTAATATGAGCTTATATTCAATAAGCTCTGATCGTTCGCTTTCCAAAATGGGACTGACTGATGAACTACCTCGAGGTTAGCACTTTCCCTTGCAAGGCATCCTTTAGCGAGTGCAAAAATTGGTAATTTTGGCCCCCAAATCAGGAAAAACTGCAACTTTTGTCTAAGAGTTCCGGACTACCCGTGCTCCCGCCCCAACATCGTCCCGTGTTGGTGCGTTGCACCGTAACGTCCATTTTGACCACAACGTCCAATTTTGAATATTTCATCAATTTTCTCAACATCTAGACTAGTATCTAAATACATTAAATAGCGCATTAATATCTCCTGGATCCTGGCTATCTCCCTGAGTATTTTCAACAGTATCCGACCGTTGTGTAGTGGTGGGAATTGGCTTTGAAGGTTGGCGTTTCCGGACACGGGAAATAATCTTCTTTCGTTCAGCTTCAGCACGTTCAGCAACCTGACGATTTGCATCTTTAACTGTCAATGGCCCTATAGTAGGGATTCTTCTGCGAGATCTCTGAGAGCTTGGAGCGCGTGCACGCTCTAGATGTTGAGAGATATCGCTTTGAAGTTGGGCT